CATTTATAGAAATTAAAATTATTATAATTTAACTATGAACTGGATCATATCAGAACAGCTTAAAATATCTTAACTGACTTGATTACAACATCAATAAATAATAAATTAATATTCCAAATTACGTGGTTTTTTACTATAACGAATCACTAGAAGTATCTGAGGGTTTAATGCTATTATAACTTACCAAAAAAATGTTGATGCATAACCAAAAAATTAATCTAATGTTGTTCTATAAATAATGCTACAGATCTCTTTTTTATGATATTTAGATCAATAAATGGAATAAAAATGTTTCGTTTTACGCACGCTGAATTACGAGTACATCGTTTATTTACAAATTGGTACACGAAAATAGTTACTTAAAAAGTGTGTACATTAAAAAAATATATTTTTTTAATAATTTTTTTTTTTTTTTTTTTTTTTTTGGAATAATATTTGAATTACTGTGGGATGTATATATTTTTTTTTAAGTTGAAATGTAGTGTTAAAAGAGATTATATCTGTGGAGTGTTTTGTAAATTAACTTAAAAAAAAATAATTAACTAATAAGCAGTTTTTCCAATTGTTTAATAAAAATAAAGATTTTAAATTAAAATTAAATGGAATTTTCTTTGCATTCTCTATATTAATTTTTCTGTTCAATACTAGCAAAGTCAATGCATAGACAAATTAATTAATCAAATATACAATGAAATATAACATAGTCAAATAATTTCCTTTTGCATTTTATAACTGGATAATTATACATATAGAAAAATATTGAAACCATTTAACGTATTGATTTCATAGAAATAAGTTTTCAGTACATTATGTAGAAAATAAAATACTAAAAAAAATTCACTGACACTTTTCTTATCATATTATTAATTATAAGTTTAAAGAATATATTAAGAAATTTTCGGTTTAACGAATAATGCACAATAGACGATATAAACATAATAAAAATCAAGTTTTATTAAATCATAATTTAATTGATACTATTTCGTTCGATATTGCAAAATTTATAATATGGAAAGAAAAAGAATACTTTATACGAGCAAGAATTGACCATTATTTATATTTTTATGTTGAATTATGTAATTAGAAATATTCCTACATCAACATATGCAATTTATATGATAAGAGATTCACATATTCCAAAGTTTCTACTTTATTAATTGGTCGATTGTACAATTTCATAATACTCAAAACAGTCAAATTGATAAGGAGCATGTAAAGAAAAATCTACTAAATTGATTATAATAAAACCACTTAATACCATAGATAATTATATACTCATATAATTATCTATATAATATAAAATAAAAAAGTTATTTTATATTTTTATTTTCTTAATCATCTTTTCAGTAGTTTTTATCACCAACTATTATCTTTTATTTTTGAATTTAGATCATTCACACATAAAAAACGTAAAAAAAAAAATCTCTTTTTTTTTTAAATAATTTTTATAAATTGACGCACAAACAATTTGCTATATTTATTTTATTATTCATATCTTCGTAAATATATCTTATATATATTCCCGAAGATAAATTTATTTGTCTTTGTATACAAAATATTGTAACTGTCTTTTTTTACATATCTTTCTATATGAATTTTTCAAAATATCTTGAATGCACTTGCAACTCATATGCGTAAGCTTTTTCATTATATTCAAATTTCAAAATAGATAAATAATGTTTTTTATCAACAAAGTGTCTAAGAAGAGTTTTAATTGATGGTAGTTCAATCTATATGAGTCTAGAATTTGAAAAATATGTTATGAAGCAATTGAAAATTAAACTTTAAGTGCAAATTCCCCACAAAGGAACAATATCAGTTAAAATTTTCCTAAGTGCCTTGATTACTTAGTGGTTACCAAAAGGTATTATTAGTCTATTTGAGATTAAAAAGTAATGTCTAGATAAAATAGTTAATTGTTTTTTGTTTTCTTTTGTAAATTTAAAATACATAAAGGACATTTTTATTTTTTTTGAAAAATAATTTAATTGGTTAAAAAATAGAAGAAAAAGTTGTTGACTAAAATGTTTCTTTGTAATGGATTTCTGTTTAAATTTATATAAGAAAATTTTACATTAGCGGTAATAAAAATGTAATTCTTTGTAGTATTTATATAATTTATTTTTTATTCTGTTAATTTAAGAGCAATATGTTGGAATTGATAAACATTACTCATAATGTTATTAATAAAATATATGTAATTAAAATCAATGATAAAAAAGAATTGAAATTTTTAACAAAAACAGCAATTTTTATTACCTCTAATATAAAATTTTCTCATATAAATTTAAACAAAAATCCATAACAAAGAAACATTTTAGTCAACAACTTTTTCTTCTATTTTTTAACCAATTAAATCATTTTTTCAAAAAAAATAAAAATATCCTTTATGTATTTTAAATTACTAAATGAAAACAGAAAAAATTAACAATTTTTTTTTTTCACCTAGTGTTTACACGTCTGATTAATAATTCCTTTTATTAACCCTTTTTAAGAATGAAAATAACTAGCTATATGGAAAATTTATAGTTAAACACTCAAGCAATATATAAATAAAAAAAAAAAAAAATCGTTTGTTAATTTTTTTTTTGTTTTCTTTTTATAAAGGATATACATAAATATATTTATTTTTTTTTTAAAAAAAGATTTAATGGTAGGAAAAATAATGTTAGAAAAGGATGAGAAGTATTTTATTGACAGGAAAGATTGTCGTAAATTTTTATTTGAGTCCTTCTCTTAAGAGAAAATTTTATATATATAACAATAAAATTTTCATGTTTGTAATGTTTATATAATTTAATTTGAATTTCATTAATTATGTTAACTTGGTAAGCAGCACAATTGAGTTGATAAACATTATTCAGAGCATTATAAGTAAAAATATTTTTCATTAAAATCATTATTTAATGAAGTTATAAATTTTTATTAAAAATAGGGATTTTTATTAAAGTAATAAATTACTCTTGAGAACAAAGTATTCTCAACGAGGTAGACTGCATACAGTTCATTTGTTTTACAACATTTAAAATTATACATAAATTCATTAAATCAGTAGAGATAACTATACGTTCTCTTTATTAATATATTTTTTTAGTGCTCTGCAAAAACAACGAACAGGCAGATAACCAATATCTATTTATTTTCCATATAGCTATTAATTTTTTTTATTCTCAAAAAGCTTAATATAACTTTTGTTAACCATTTATAAAATGCTTAAACTTTCATGTACTAATTTTAAGCAATAAGTACACTAAAACACTTGTACTGAATTACATATTTTTGTACTAGGATAATCTATTTACTGCCTGTTCTGCGATTTTGCTAGAGTACTAAACAAACATATGAATAAAGAGCATATAGAGTTACCTCTATTAATTTAATGAATTTATGTATAATTTTAAATATTATAAAACAAGTAAACTATATTTATATGGTCTACTTCATTGAAAATCCTTTATTCTCAAGAGGTATTTATTACTTTAGCAAAAATTCCTATTTTTAATAAAAATTTAAATCTTCAATGAATAATTATTTTAATTAAATAAACTTTTATCTATAATGTTATGAATAATGTTAACTCAAGTCTGCTGCTTTCGAAGTTCATAAATATAATTGATGAAATACAAATTAAGTTATATTAATCATTACAAATATGAAAATTTTATTATCATGTATATAAAATTTTCTCTTAAAAAAAAAATTCAAAATAAAAATTAACTACAAAGAAACTCTCTTGTCAACAAATTAATTCCCATCTTTTTCTGACATTATTTATCCACTATTAAATCTTTTTCAAAAAAAGAATAAATATATTTTTTCGCTTATATTCTTTATAAAAAGAAAACAAAAAATTAATAATTTTTTTTTTTATTTATAATCTCTTTCATAGCGAACTGCGTATTTTCCATACATCTAGTTATTTTCATTCTCAAAAAAGTCTAATAATTCTTTTTATTAACTATGGGAAATTTATTTTTTTCATTCTCTTTATATCCTGAAAAAAAAATGTATTTTTTTTTTATAATATTTATTTTTCCTTTAGAGAGGAAATTAAATATTGAATAACATACAATGTGACACGTACCTATAGTTCATAAGAATTTATGTAATATTAGTTATGCAATGTATATGTTATATCATGGTTAAATTGCAAAGTTGATATTATGCTATTAACTATGGGATATTGTGTAGATAAAGTTAAATTTATTTTAAAATTAAAAATAAATTGCGTTAAGCAGTGTAAATTACAAGTGATTAATTATTAAATAATAATTATTATTATAATAAATAAAATAAGAAGAAATTTCTTCACTTGTTCTTTATTAACTTGTCTACTCAAAGAACTATAAAAGTTTTTGAAAAGATAATTAATAAATCACATAATAATCATTTTAGTTTTTTAATTAATCATAAAAAAAATTATCCTAACAAAAAGGTTAACATTTTCCTACGAGAACTTTATAAAATTGTTGATTCAATGCATTTTAAAAGTCTTTGAAAGAATTATTAATGTTAACTATTTATAAAAAAAAATTTAATTTTCATTAGAAAAAATAATAACGTATTTCTTATGGATATCATTGTAACTCACATGAAAATCAATGAATATGTGTTAATTTTTTTTATTTTTTTTTTTATTTCTCTTTTTAATAATAAATAATTTCTATTAAATGAAAACGCTGTGGAAAATATCATTGAAAAAAGAAAAATGTGAAAGTAAAATATATTTGTACCTGGAGGTAGCAATACAGTACGCATGATAAATAAGAGAAACCATCTTATGTAAAATTTACAAAATATAAATGAAATAGTTACGAATGTAAAAATAAATGAATATTAAATGATTATCTAGTTTTAATATAAAATTTGTAATTCATCTACCTATCATTCCTTTTTATATGATAATTTTATGATAAGGTATTATAATAATATATTTTTGATTTAAATTAAATAAATCATTTCTATTTTTATATTCTTATATTTCTTATTTTTCTTTAATTTTAATTTTTAAACATCATTTTCTTATAATAAAAAGCAAATGCTATTCCACCACCAACAAGTATACAACCTAATATACCTAATGTTATTTTAGCTTTTGTAGTACTAAAAATACCATCATCAGAAATATCTACATCATATAAAGTGTTCATAACAGATCCACTAAATTCTTTAGATTTCAAATATTTTTCTAAATCACTACTTGATTTGGATTTTATGTTTGCTTCTATATCACCAACAAACCCTTTTTTTTTGTAAATAAAATCTATAGTATCCATAGAATTATTAACTAAATTTTTAATATAACGTTGAACTCCTATATTTTTCTGTATAATTGGATAGTAATAACTTTTGTAAATTTTTTCATCCAACTTTGAGCTTTTTAAGAATTCTAAGATTTTCTTAGTATAAAGTAGCATTTTAATATATTCAGAATTGTTTTTATATGATATTTCATGTATTTCCTCTTCTCTAATATTATCAGTATAATTGTGATTTCGTTTATGTAGATGTGAGCAAAATTCATTCATTCTTTCACTTAATAATTTATGAATTTCATCTAACTTTTTTTTCATATTTAATAATTTTCTTCGTTGAATAAATAATCTTCCTTCAAATCCTTTTAAAGTAGGATTATTAAGTATATGAGAAATGGTTGGATCTCCTCCTCTGGGGCCTTTTAGGTTATGAATTTCTGTGTTTTCAGGTGGGTTTGATAATATTTCATTTTTGATTTCCAAATTTATTTCTTCTGTATCATATTCATTTTCTCCTAAATCCAAATTTTCAAGTTCATAGACCATTTCTTCATTTTTGTTGGCGTTTCTTAAATTTGAATAAAATGACGAATCTATCAAATTAGAATCTAATTTGTTTGATTCTGTTCCAATATCCTCTTCATAACTAACTCCTATAAAAATATGTATATAACAAAAATAAAAATGAATTCATGTTAATTATAAAATATTGTTTGTTTTTTAAAATTTTTATAGTTATAATATATATATTTAAAAATTCACATGTTATATTACCGAAAAGAGAAAAGCAAATATTTAAAATAACTATCCAAAATAATCCGCTTTTCATAATGAAAATAACTATTGTGAAGTTTCTTTTTTTTTCTATTTAATTTTTAAAGTTATATTATACGTATTTTTTTGAATTTTATGTATATATTCTTTACATAAATATTCAAAATATTTTCTTTAAATGTGTCTTTACAAAAATATGAACCTTTTCACTTTTTAATTTATATTAATGACATAATTATATATGTACTAATAAGATCATACACGTTTTCATATGCATAAGAAATATACGTAAATTGATTCAAAATTAAATTAAAATTTTATTAGAGAAAAAAAAGTTAAAGCAACAAAACTTTAAGAAAAATTAGATATAAATTTATCTCATGTTAATGATTTATTTTTAAAGAAAAATATATATGTATGTGTATATGTTTGTTCAGCAAATTAAATTCATTATATTATATGAATAAAATGTCTTTATTATACACGAATTTCAACTAGAATAATAAAAAGAACTTATGTACCACATAAGAAATAAAAAAAACTGTGTATAAGAATATACATAATTGAAAGAAAAATCAAAGGTAGAATATTTATTTCTATAATAAAAATTTTTCACATTTATGAAATAAAACAAAAAGGAGAATATTAACACATTTCAACTTCACTAAAAATTACAATTAATTCATAAAAAAAAAAATTTTATTTTTTCTACTTAATTTCATATCTAAAAAATTAGTTAATATATTTTTTCTAAATTAAAAATTTTTTATTTAAATTTGATGAAAGTATAAATGTTACTTAAAAAAAGGAAGTTGAAAAATGTGAAATTTTATTATATATTTTGTAATTCAATAAGTGTTAAAAAAATTGTGTGCTCATTTTAAATACATATATATTTTTAATTCTAGAAGGTGAAATTAAGAGAATATTATTAAATTTTTCCTATTAAAATAAATTATATATAGCATTTCATTCATTTAAAAAGAAGTGCATAAAGTAACATTTTTAACACTCCAACATGAACCCTGAGTCGAAATTTTGCTAATAATTTTAATTATTTCATTTACATATTTTCCCTTATTTTTCTTCTATTTCACCATAATATAACTGATGAAGAGATAAAACAAGAAATAATAAATTATAAAAATATCATTTCAATTTCTATTTTTTTTTTTTTTCTCCTTGGTTTTTTATTTGATTTTAATTTATAAAATTTACAACTTTTCTTTTTCTATATATAAACATAATAAAAGAATTTCAATTAACACTTTCTCTTCTTATTAATATTTAACTATCTCCTCTAATGCACTATAATTAAAATTCGTTCAACATTTTTATGTTACCATTGTCATTATAAAAATTCTATTCCATCATAATATTTTCTTTTATTTTTCTTTTTCTCTTTTTTTTTTTAAGATTATTTCTATAAATAAATTGTTAATATAAAAAAATTTCTTAATATGATTCAACATATTGCACTATCATTGAAATTACTTAAAAATATAATATTTCCCAAATTAAAAACGTTTGTTATTTAAAATATAATTTATGCACCATCTTTGATTTTTTTTTTTTTTTTTTTTAGTATAATTTTTATTGCACTATTTATAATTTATAAAAAAATAGTTGCGTGTAACTGAACGTTGCACCATTGTTAAGATTCATACAATATCTTATATTTCCATAATTCCTGTTATCATTTATCATAATTATATTAAGTATTGTGAACTATTTATACCTTTATTTTTGTTTTATTTTTTATTTTTTTAAGAAATAGCTATTTCAATGTTAACTATATGTAAAAAAATGATAAATGTGTCTCAATAGTTTTCACTGCAGAAATGTTTCCTAAATGTTAGTAAAAATTATCAAACAAAATTTTATACATAATACACCAAAGAAGTAAAATTTTTATTAATTATATCCATTAATATACTATTACTATTTAGCCTAAATCACATTATGCTTATTTTTGAAATTTATGACATAATAATTAATGTTTTACCTGTAACTCTAATGATTATTTTTTTTAATTAGCATTACAAATTATTACAGTTCTATTTTTATCACACTTTATTTTTAATGAATAATCTTGAATTTATTTTTTATTTTAAAATTATTGCTTACACAAAATAATTACACACATTTTTACACTTAAAAATTTTAACAGTTATTTTATTTCTTATATTTTATTTTTTTAAATACTTATATTAATTTTACTCTTCTTTAAAAATAAGTAATTTTTTAATTAAATAGGTTAATCATCTTAATTTATAAGTATTTGAAAAAACAAAAAAAAAATTAAAATATTTAATGTTTAAAAATTATATTTATTTACATTTTATTAAACAATTTACTAATTTAAATTTAAAAAAGTAAAAAAAATAAAATTTGTTCTTTAAATATATATGTTAAAGTATTAGGTAATATTAAAGGTAAAAATGTTTAACAAAAATACTAGTTCCATAGTAATCTAAAAATAAAGAATACCTATATATTTTTTGAAATATTTGAAGTATTTATAATATATAAGAAATAATTTATAAAAAAACACTATATTTTTTTTTTTTTTCTACAACTAAAAAATTTATACAAGGAAAATTGTATAAAATCCTTTAAATTTTAAAATATGCATAATGCAAACAGGGTAAAAGCAAGTATAATAAAAACTAAATAAAGATCAAATATATTAATGAAATGTAATATATATATACATATAGAAACATATATATAAGATATGGTAAAAAAAATAACTTAATTAAAGGAAAATGGATAAAGCATATAGTTAAAAATGACTCTTAAAGAAAAAAGTAAAATAATATAAATTTATTAAAAAATTAAAAATTTTTCGTTTTTTACTTCTTTTTTGTTTTCTTTATTCAGTGAAATATAAGATAAAATTTTAAAAAAAAAACATAAAAAACTTTTTAATTAGTAAGTATATATAAAATCTTCACATAAAAAAAATTTTACAAGTCTTAATAAATTATACAAATATATTATTAAAAAAAAAGAAAAAGACAATTTTTTTTACAATAAAAAAGGGTACATCTTTAATGATATATAGAAAAAATTAACAAAAAATTTAAATTTAAAAAATAGTAAATACATTTTTTTAAAAATTCTTTTATTAAAATTTTTATAATGATTATAATATCAAAAAAAATGGAAATATTTATTTTTTATAAAATTAATTTTTATATTTTTCAGTGTGTTAATAAGTAAAATTTTATAAAAAAAAAAAAAAAAGATATTCTTTAAACTCAAATGTTTTAAAAAAAAAGCTAAATATTTGAACACCAAAATAAATACAAGAGAAATAATAATATAATATTGTTTAATATTAAAAAAATAATAGAAAAAATAAAACAATTGAAAAAATAATATGTTGAATATCAAAAAAATCCAAAACAGGAAAAAAAAATGAATAAAAAATTAAGAATTAATTTACAGTATATTCTCTTTGTTTTAAATAATTCTAATTAAATGTAATTGGTTTTAAAAGAATAAAAAGAAAAACTTAAAATTTTAAATATTTTTCATTTTTTTATACCCTAAAAAAGTAAAATTAGTTAAAATGGAAAATATTAAAAATAAAATATTAAATAATATAAACATGTAAATATAAATTCTTAAAAAAAAACAATGAATTTTAATTTTTATAGAATGTCAAATTTTCATTTAAAGGAACACATAAAAAAAAAATGTAAAATACATAATAATTATTTTTGAAGCCTTAATTTATCTTTATTTTAGTTTCAAAATTAATGCATAATAGTTATGATTTTTTTTTTTTCTCAAGCATATAGAAATAAGTTATTTTGATATAAATATTCATATATATACCTTTTATTATTTCATTAAAGCATATATGGATATATACGGAAAAATAACTTAAAAATAAACTATTAATAGAATAAAATATCATATTTTACATATATTTTTTATTTTTATTTTTACATATATTAGCTTTCTTTTTATTTTACTATAATATAGATTATTAAATTAAATTTAAAAATATGCATAAAAAAATAAAAAAGAAGAAATGCCTTTTATGATATTTTATATATATGTATATATAGTTTTATTTTTTATTTTTTTACATTTTATATTTAGTTGAATTTAATAGAAATACAACTATGCTATATATTTCAAAAATATCAAATAATAATTTTTTATTTTTAGTAATCTCATTAAATATTCTTAAAAATGTATTTTAATAAAAAATATTAATTTTTATTTTTTTATATAAAAGTATGAAATTATATATTTGAATTTTTTAAATAATATAATTAACTTTTATGAATTTATTTTTTAATTAATTTCTTTCCATCATCCTTTTTTCTCATTAAAATATGATAGTACTCTTATGTATAATAATATGTAATTTTAATAGTACTTCATTAATATAATAAAGACACATTTATAGTAATGTATATTTAATTGTATCATATTTATTATTATATTCAATACATAATACTGAAATAATATTTATTTTAAATAATTTTAACCGTGGTAATTTCATTAATAATAATACATATATTTAAAAAATTTTCCTCAAAAAATAATATATAACATCCAATTTTTTTCTTTTTTTTAATAATTCTTGTAAAAATAAAGATTTATTCCTTTTATTTTTAAAAAAAATAGTCATTAAATAACATATGTTTTTACTATATATTTAAGGATTTTTTAAATCTTTCATATAGAACATTATTAATTAAAAAATATTAAAAAAGGTATATGCATATTTGCGTATAAATATTAAGTATAATTACTTATTTTATTCAAAAATTTAATTTTTTTTCCATATCAATTTAATCGCAAATATTAAATATAATATTATTACGTCAATATGTATATTATTAATAACTATTTTTTTTTTTTTTTTTTTTTTTTTTTTTTTCTCTTAAATATCGTGTGTACGTTTTTGACATTTTATTTTATTTTGTTTTTTATTACCATGTTACGAAAGGTCAATAATATCTTTTATTATCCTAGTAACATATACCTTCAAAACAAATTCAAAATATTTAAGATTTTTTAAAATGATTA